ACCCATGGTTCAAAACCATCAGATGCTCTACTGAAGAATGAGGGGCCAACCTCCTCCTGTGCCAGTCAGATCTGAGTTGACGGTACACACATACACACACACACACACACACACAAATAATAAAGTTTTTGAAAAAAATAACAAAACCAGAACGGAACCCTGTCTTTCCCTGCTCTATCCTCACTGTCTCTGATAGGCTCAAGCCCATTGTTATCATCACTGTGTCAGTCCAACTTGTTGAGATTCCTCCTCTCTTTCTCTGACCCTCCATGTTTACCAGCCTGATTCCCTTTTCCAAACATTGGCCATCTTGACAACGTGCATGAAACAAAGCTTCACCATCCCTACCTCAAAGGAGGACCTGCTTGCACTTCCTCCAAAAGAGACTTGTTTATTCTTTTGGCAGTTCATGAGATATTAAGTACTTTTCTCTAACACTACAACTCAAAGGCATTGATTCTCCTGTCATCCTTATTCATGGTCCAATTTAATGTTAAAAAGAAATAAAAAATTAAAAAAAAAATAATAAATCAAAAATTAGAAGCTTTTAAAAACAAAAAGCTTGTTCATGAAAAGACTTTACAAAGATATAAAAAACAAACTACAGACTATAAGAATATCTTCAGAAACCATATATCTGACAAGAATCTAATAACAAAAATATATATTAAACCTCCACAACTTAACAACAACCAAAACACAATTAAAAAAGGCAAAAGATGTGAATATATGTTTCACCAAAGAAAACACACAGATGACAATTATACACAAGAAAAAACACTCACGGTTCGAATCCACCAGACACTCTGCCGGAGAAGGAGGCGCAATATCCTCCTGTACCAGTCAGATCTGATTTGACGGTACACGCACACAAAATAATAATAAAATTAAAAAAAAGAAAAAACACTCAGCATCATTAGCGATCTGGAAGACACAAATCAAAACCAAGACATACCATTTCATTCCTACTAAGATCACAGAGAGCTCCAACGATCTAGTCCACAGGTAGTTTCATTGTTACCCCAAAGACCACATCTCTCAGGCAGTTCAGATTCACCAGGGGCTTCTCAGGAGAAAGATGGGCAATCTCCTCTCATGCAGTTTACTAGCGCTGAAACCCACTGGAATGCAAGCTCTGAGTGAGTGCGAAGATGACCACAATCCAAATGGAAGTAGCAGTCAAGAAATCAAGACATACTGCAGTGGGCAAATCTGCTGTCAAGGATCTCTTTAAAGTGCAAAAAAGTCAGGCTAAGGTCTGTTTGACCCATGCCATGGTATTCTCAATAGCCTCTTGTACACGTGCAAGTTGGATAATGAATAAGAAAGACGGAAGAATAACTGATGCCTTTGAATTGTGGTGGTGGTGAAAAATATGATGAATATACTACGGACTGCCAAAAGAACAAATTTGTTCTGGAAGAAGCCAGGCAGGGTACTCCTTAGAGGCAAAATGGTAAGATTGTCTCGCGTCCTTTGATCATGTGATCAGAAGGGGCCAGTCCCTAGAAAGAGACCCTGTAACTGGGAACATTGAGGGTCAAGTAAAGGAGAGGAAGACCCTCAAAGAGATGGGCTGACATAGTGACTGCAACAAAGAGCCTAAAACAGCAAAGGGGACATTCTGAGGATGGCACTGAGGGGAAGGGTTAGAGCTTTGGTATGAGGGGTACAAGTCAGCAAAGACTTGATGGCAACTAACAACAACAACAACAGGATGGCTAGGATTTAAAAACAAACAAACTCCACAAAATAACAAGTGGCAAAGATATGGGGAAATTGAAACCCTTATCTATTTTTGGCTGTTGTTGTTGTTAAGTGCTGTCAAGTTGTAGATGACTCATAGCGGCCCTATAAACAAAAGACCTGAACACTTGTATAACTTTCATTGTTTCTCCAAGTTCATAGAGTTTCCTGAGGCAAGCTATTTCTGAAGTGGATGCCACTCCTGCTTCCAGACACAAGAATATATACTACCCCAAAAAAAGGATATTACATGAACCAAACTTAAGGCCACAGTTGAAATGACTTCAAAGCCAACTGCAGATTACCAGACTTTGGTATTTCACTCTCAGTAAACATTCTTTTTATCAGGCTTTCATCAGTTAAGATCTGGTTTGTAAAATAAATCCAAGCATTCTGAAATTGCACACTTTCAAAGGTGTGAATAATTGATTAAGTGACTGATTAGTAGGCCATTTATATTATTTAAAAGCAGTGACCAATGAAGAATATGAAAAAAAATTGGGGTGATAGGTTTCATATTCTTTATTTTAATTATAGCAGACTAATTCTAAGCAGCTAATTACATTACACACTTGGACACAGGAGGAAACCAATAACCACCCAATCAGATTGCAGTGATATAGCCACATTCCCAAGTCAACAACACTCCCTTCACAAATTGCTCTAAGACGTGGTGCAGGTCCCATGCTGAATACCACCACAAGCAGTTCTTTCTCTCAAGTAACGGAAGAGGTAATGTAAGTTCTGCTGGGATGATTTCAAATTGTAATCAGAGGTTTCAGGAAGTCTTCCGCCTGTGCTAATCCATTCACTCCTTGCCTCACCCTTTATTTCTCTGTCCTGTTGTATCTGTACTATCTTTTTTTTTTTAATGACTTTCATTATCTTTTTTTTTTAATTATTTTTGTGTGCGTGTACCGTCAAATCAGATCTGACTGGTACAGGAGGAGATTGCCCCTCCTTCCCCGGCAGAGCATCTGGTGGATTCGAACCGTGAGCCTCTGGGATTGTAGTTGCAGCTCCTTGCCACTAGGCCACCAGAGCTCCCCTATGACTTTCATTAAATGCTTACAAAACAGAATACAAAACTCTGGCTTCGACGGTTGGTGTAAATGTACTATTTTATTAATCCACAAGTTATATTCCCTGAGATGCCAAATTTCATTGATGACCAAACATCCAGTAGGATGAAGTACTTGAAGGCTGAGGATTAACATGAGATTCTGCTTGGTGTTTTCTGCAAAGGATATGTGGAGTTGGGATGCTAATCATCTTTGCTTTCAGTTGTGCAGCAATACTGATCTTACTGATGTTGGCTTGATCTATTTTTGGTGGAAATGCAAAAATGGTATAGCCACTGAGGAAAACAGTGTGGCAGCAGTTCCTCAAATAGCTAAAAATAGAACTACCATGTGACAGTAATTTGGCAGCACTGTTGACAGTAACCAAAATGTGGAAATCAGTGAAGATCAACAGAGAAATGGATAAACCAAACGTAGTTCACTGGACTAGCACTCAGCCAACAAGAGAAATGGAGTGTTGACAGATGTACGGATGGTACCAGGAGACATTCAGCTGAGCAAAATAAATCGATCAGAAAAAGGAAGAGAAATACAAATAAGCCACCACTAAAGTATAACAGCTACAATGAGAGGGATTTCAGAATAGGAAATGGACTTTGAGAACAAAAATATCATAAAAACAGGTGAAATATTTAAATAATATGAAAGATTTAAATAAATATAAAATGAACTAAAAGTATATGTAATAAGAATTTAACAAAACTGACCAAGTTTTTTAAAATTTTTTCCTCCCCCTTGTTGTGTACTGTTGAGTTGGATCTGACTGCCACAGGAGGAAATTGCCCCTCCTTCTACAGCAGAGCTTCTGATGGATTTGAACCCTGTGCCTTCGGGATTGCAGCCCAGTTTTTTGCCCCTAGGCTACTAAAGCTCCCTTGACCAAGCATATTTGAAGGAAAACCAAACAATTTTTATTTGTAGTTGACTAGACACAGTTGAAGAGAAAATTGGAACAAGAATCTGAAAGAATTACCTAGTTTATAGCATAAAAAATGAGTAACTAAAAGGAATGAAACAAATTTTAAGAGATCAAGAGAACCTGGGAGAAAGAGGGAAAGTCTCCTCCTGTGTAATATCCTCCCTCTGAAAACCCACCGGAGCGGCCGCTATGGGTCAGTTCCAACTCCAAGGTATGTAACAACAACAAAAACCCCCAAAACAAATCAAAAGACAGCCCGTATTAATGGGCTGGGTGACTTTATATCGTTAAGATGGTAATACCTACCCACCAACCCCGCAAACTGAGCTACAGATTCATTTTTGAAGTAGAACAAAGTTGGAAGACTCACATGTCCTGACTTTAAAACGTAATACAAGCCAAGGTGATAAGGTCCTAGTGACAGGGTGAATGCAGAGTCAGTGGTGTGGCCCTGAAAGTCCTCTCCCACGGGTTTTCTGAGGCTGTAGATTGTAGGGCAGGAGACGGCCTATCCTTCTCCCGAGGAGCCACGGGTGGATTTGAACTACCAGAGAGAATGCAATTCCCTAGAAATTACACCAGCCACACTCCCTCTATACCAACTAGAATAACTAGAGTTTAAAAATGGAAAGTGAGAAGTCCTGCCACTGGAATCCTTGTGCATTGCTGACAAATACGCAAAAGGGTGCAGCTGCGATGGGAAACAGTTTGGCGGCTCTTCAAAAAGTTCCACATAGAATTACCATAGGATCCAGCTATTCTACACCCTGGTGTGTGCTCAAGAGAAAGAGAAATATATGCGTACATACAAACCTACATTATACTATCAGGATTATGCACAATCTAAAAAGTTCCCAAGGGCTTCATCAGCAGATAAATGGAGAACAAAATATGGCATGGTCATATTCTAGACTATCATTTGGTCCTAAAACAGGAATAAAGTTCTGATGTGGATGAACTTCAGAAACAGTATGTGAAATGAAAGAAGTTAGACATGAAAGGCCATATATGTTATTACATACATAGTAATAACATTTACATGCAATGTCCAGGATGGGCAGTTCTATAGAGACAGCTGCTGCTGACCAGGTCCTCAAAGAGATGATGCCGGAACCGTCAGAAAAGAGAACCCACTCATCCCCATACAGATGGGAAGGGAAATGCAGGGCACAGGCAGGAAGATTAGCATGGCCAGAAGTCACCAGTATCAGCCCACAGCTCTGTGAAACTTCAAGAGCTCAAGTGAATCTTACAGCTGGAGACAAGTCCAGGCGGAAGGCAGCCCCACACTGTCCTGTGGGGATAACCAAGGTCTGGAGGGAAATAGGCTGAAAGATAACTGAAAACCCAGGCCCAAGCTTGCAGATGTGAGAAAGACATCGTGCAGGGTGGTTGTGGATGGAGCAAGGATGAAGTGTACGGATCCAAGGCTTGTTACTTCCTTGCTGTTTCCAAACAGTGTCCAAGGCAGCCCCAGGCACTCGGCATCCTCTCCAGCCGCTCCTGCTCCCAGCTGGCTCCCCTGTCATTTCCCTTTATGCATATTCCCGCCTCTTAGCATTCCACCTCAACTAAGCAGCTAAGCGTGTCCTCAGGCACCCTGGGGACAACTGTTCCAGAGGTCTTCTAAGATTGAACCTGGGTCTTCTCGGAGCCCCTCCTGGAGAGTGGCTGAGACACAGTCCTGCCCAGTGACAATCTAGGCCCAGAGGCAGGGCACTGTGCCCCACAAGGCAGGAGAGTGGTGGAGGTCTGGAAGTCAGAGGGATGGTGGGCTCAGGGCTGCTGGGCAGTAGGCCTTGGTTTCTGGGTTGCTGCCTCCCCTCCCCCAGTTCTGGATCTTTGTCCTCTGTTTCCTTGGAGCAGACTTTCAGATTCTCCCTGATTCTCAGGGCCCCTTTCTTTCCAGAATTGGCCGAGGGTAGCCATAAACCATGGGTAAATCTGGCTCTCCTGGGACTGGTCCATTCCTCCCTCCCTCTTCTACAGAGGGGCCTGTGACCGACCCTAGGTGTCCTGGTAAAGAAGTCTCTGAGGTGTCTGTCCTCCTGGAGGTGCGGCCTGCCCCACTCACCTTTTGTTCTACCTTGAATTTGGCATTGTAGAAGGAGATGGATTCAGGGCCCTCGAGCAGCACACTCTGCTGCAGCTTTCTGTATTTCTCCTGTTCATCTTCTCCCTGGGGAAGCCCACACCGACCACACTCCCTTCAGCCCGGCAGAGTCAAGACTCATGCTTCCCCAGGTCTGCAAACCCCCACCCAGGGCAGCTCAGAGTCCTCCGGGCTTCCATGTTTGCTCATTCCCACTGACCCCGTCCCTGCCACCTGGGTAAGCCAGCCCAGGAAGGTGGCAGCATCAAGGGGCAGCGAGTATGGTGTTTGCTGTGCCTTCACTGCTCAGTCCTTGGGGAGACTCCTGTGCTTGCCCCCCAGCTTCGGGGAGCCCTGGGAGAGGAGGAGAAGACTCCACATGCTGCTATGTTCATGGGAGCCCAGCAGACAGGGGTGCTGCCCACTGTCCCACGTGGGTGCATCACCCAGTCCGTGGCCCGCTCACCAGAGACATGAGCCTGTTGGTAGGCTCTGTGTCCAGTTGGATGCTATTGGGGGGCTTTGGTGCCTCTTGTACGTCCTTGGGGATGGAGAAGGACTCACTGTACCAGATGTCAAATTCTGCAAGAAGGTGGGGAGACAGCAATGTCAGGGGTAGGGAGGCCCCTGAAGAAAAAGGCAAACAGAGTGCTCATCAGTCTGTCCTGTGTCCATCCCAGGCTCACCGTGTCTTAATTCTGACGCACCTGAGCGTCTTATTCTGTCCTCACCTCTATCTCTAGTCCTCATAGGCCTGAAAACCCCTATTTCTATTGGGGTCTCCTAAACTACTCCCCAACCTGAGCCCTGGCCCTGGCCCAAGGCTCCCCACACATCAGGTGCTCAGCCAGCCTTCCCAAACAGCACACCTGTGAGCAGGCGGTGGCGACACTGGTCCACCAGGTGCTGACAGTACTGCATCTCGGCCCTGAGGTCCTGCAGGTCCTGGTACTCGCTACGGTACTGCATCTTGAGGTCTTTGAGCTTCTGGAGCAGCAGGAATTCCTCCTCATCGATGATCATCAGTCCCTTGTTCTCATTCTCATACTCGTCTGCAGGAGAGTGGACAGGATTAGGGAGTGAGGAGGTGCTCCCCTGGGGGGGTTGGGAAGACATTTGGGAGAGAGGGGACAGTGCTTGCAAAGACAAAGGCAGGGGCACAGAGGAAGCGCTGGGCACATCTTGGTGATAGTCACAGCATGAGGGGAGGCCAGGCAGGGAGGACACATCTCCCTAGTGGTAAAGAGGGCCTCCACACAGGCATTTTAGTTAATTTTTTTTAATTTATTATTTTGTATGTGTGTGCCATCAAATTGGATCTGACTGGTACAGGAGGAGGTTGCCCCTCCTTCTCCATCACAGCATCTGGTGGATTCGAACTGCACTCCTCTGAGATTGCAGTACAGCTTCTTGCCACTAGGGTACCAGAGCTCCCACCACACAGGCATTTTAGGACAAAGAGGAGGGATGGGTGGAAGAAAACGTAGAGATGGCTCATTCTAGATACTTACTTTGACCTTGAACTCTTAGTTACCTAGGCAGTTGTAACAGAAAAAGCGCAAGTAGATGGCCTTACAAAAATCCCAAACCTCACTGCTGTCAAGTTAGAAGCAACTCAAGGCTGACACTCCGGTGGGTTTTTAAGAGGCTGCTGGGGAAGACTGCGCCTCTTTCTCCTGCACGGCTGCTGGTGGATTCAAACACGGTTTAGTTCCCTACAGACCAGGCAACCACAGCTCCCTAGGACATGGTTTTAACATACCAAAAAGGGTCTCCCACAGTTTAAGAAGCTAGAATGCCAAGCTCACCACGTTTACTCTAGGGGAAAGCTTTCTCTCTCCTAGCTGGGGGGAAGGGCCTTGTCTCCTCTCTTTTATCTCTGGGCCCAGAATTCCTCAGAGATCTCAATGTTTCTTGGCTTCTCTCCTCCCTGGGATCTTGAGGTTCTGAAGCAGGGACTCTGGGTTCAAAAGATACACTCCCCTCCTGGCTCGTCTTTCTCTACTTCTCTGCTTGATTCTCCTCCCTTCTTCTCTTTTGGAGGATGAAAGGTGATTCAGGCCATACCTCCAGAGAAACCACTCTTAAATCACATCAGGGTTGTGACCTAAGTAAGGGTGTTGCATCCCACTCTACTTCCCTTACAAGTGACTGGCTGATCACACCAGATGACATCATCAGGTGGGGGAATAGCACATTGTTATCCAACAGCCAAATGACATCAATATGTAACTGCCAAACACACACACAAACTGAAACACATTTTGGGGGGATCCAATTTGATCCATGTACACCCCATGAGTCAAAGGTCTGCAGCAAGCACCCCTATTATACTAATGTGTACTTTGCTTCATTGAATAATATCACAAGATACTGAGGGCAAAGTTCATTAATTAATGACAGTGGCTATAAACTCACATTTCAAATTATCATCTTGGTAATTCTAACAGTGATCAGTTATTAGATGATCAGACAACTTGACCATGTTAAGTGACTAAAATGCATTTTTTTTTAAAAAAAAGGACTAAATGTTCCAGACTGTATTACTTTTCTGGGCCTAGATGTGACTGTCAGAAAGTTTCTGGCAGGTATTTAAAAAATGAATTTACTTAATGTGTCCCCTCCAGATAAAGATGAGATTTAAACCACCATGTCTTTGGAAGGAAAGAGCTAATGTTTTTTGATGCAAAAACATAAAGCTTACTTAAAAGCTTTTTAAAGTTTAAAGCATTTAAACTTTAAAATATTTCTTTTTCCTTCATCTCACCCTCTTAAAGTGTCTATTTTGGGGTATATTTTGGAGTAAGATGTCACAAAGCAGTGCAAGTGTATAATATGTAAATATGTAATAAAAGGATGTCACGTTCTGGAGGCTGGGGGCAGAGGGGACAGAGAGATGCCTGAAAGAAGGTGCTTACAGAGAAGTAAGACTTTCACTGCCTCACTTCCCATTCCCTTCCAGGCAAAAGCCTGTCGGAGCCTCCAACAGGAGCCTTCTACAAGGAGCCTTGGCAAGGCTTGAAGAGCCTTGCCATCTGGAATTGTGTCATGGGTGGTCTGTAGGAAATGAACAGAGTGGTCCCAAGAATTTGGAAATAAAGTTTTCTTCCGAGCAGTATATGAGTAAAATTTTCTCCCTGTAAGTTTGATGATGCATCTGATCTGAAGCAAGGTCTGAGATGACCCAGGGATCAGTGAGTACGTTCATGAAAGCTGGCCTGGCCTGGGGTGTGATTTAGCAAGAGAAGTCCAGCAACCTGAAGTGTACCTGGCTGGGAACAATGAGACGGGTCAGAAATGTGAACAAGAGTGCACCGTCTGGTTCTGCTTCAGAGCCGAAGTCCTTAAATGCAGACTCTGTATCCGTCCCAGGATCTCTGAGTTAGACCCACTGGTTGGGGCCTGAGAATCTGCACGATCTGGACAGTGCTCCCAGGTAAGTCCTCTACACACTTAAGCTTGGGGGTCCTTGGCGCACAGTGAAGGCACGGGCATTGCCTTCCACAGGGGCAGAGAGGAGTACCCCACAAAGGGATCACTTCTGCCTGAGACTGAGAACCCCTGGACTGTCCCAGAACAGAAGATACTACCAGACCAATACAGGTGTTGGTGCCTCAGCATAACTTCAATGGCATTGAGTCCCTTATAATTTAATATGGTATCTAAATTCTTGTTTCCCTCCTTGGACTCTTGGTCCTAAGCAACACTCTACTCCAAACGACCACCATGACAGTAAGGAGACCACACAGCAGGACTTAGGCTGAGGTGGGCTCCTTGAGACCATGTGGGAGTCCCCAACCACCCTTCTTCCTGGGAACTTCTTTACAGAACCAAAGGGTTGTTTCTCCCGTCAGGATCAGCCACTGGGTCTGAAATCATGCAGTGACGGGAGACCTTCAGGCTGGCTGGTGGAGATGGGCTCTATCATTCCCCCGCGTGGGACCAGAGCCCAATGGGGTGCTGACCCATGTGTGGAGCCCACATCCCACTGCCTGCTGATTCATCCAGTGCCTGGGGCTACGGTAGTGCATTCCTCTGACACCCCACTGATCCCTTGCCATTCTCCCATTCACCTTGCTTCTCTTGCAGTAACTTCTTGAAATTCAGTGCCTCCTTGGTCACATCGATCTCCCGCTTGATGGCATTGATGCGTTGTGTGGTCTCGCTGGCCCTTTTCCTCCGCTCATTCAGGATGGACTTGTTATCTTTGAAGATGCGATTGATCTCACTACCTCGCTCACTCTTAAATTCCTCAAAGGCCACAGATTTGGAGGGTGGGGTGGTGGGCCTGGAAATGGAGGAAGGAGGAGAAAGCCACAGGGTACTTCATCTTTCTTCTCTGAGACCTCTGTGGGCAGGAGGCCAGAAATCCTGGGCACCCCATACCCTAAAGGGAAGCAAAAATGTTTGGGAATCAGGGAGGAGTGATAGGGAATGGCAAAGGA